CAGCTACACAAGCTAACGTTTAATTAAACACTAAATTTACCTTTTATGACTTCACTGTTGCTGCATTTGTCAGCTTTATGTACACTGCTCTCTTTTTCGTCAAAATAAAGACATGTTTACAATAACCAACTGACTCATTGTTTTTGATTCGCGATGTTAAATCTAACCGTTTTAACCGCAAGGCTAAACTACCCGCCAGTTAGCATTTTTGCTAAGCAAGCTAATGATGCTAAAATGCTAATAAAGAAAAAGCCCGCGTCTTCCATCGGTTAATTTTAATGTCCTGGCCACGATAACCCACTCATGTATGTATTATTTTCTGGTAGTGATGATTTATAATAAAAACAAATAACCGTTACTGAAGCAATCTTCGAAGGGTTAAAACCAGCTAGCTTAGCCTAGCAAGCCACGATCAACCGTTAGCCTTTTATGCTAACTTTATGCCGCTTTCCAACGTATTAGGTTAATTTTTGCAGTAAAGTTTTTCTTACCTTTGCTCCGATTTGGTTGCCGCATTGCCCAGCCTGGATATGTACAATTTCCCTCATTTTTCTCTCTTTAAAGATATTACAATCAGCAAAAAGCAAGAAGGTTGGAAAAAGGCGCACCCACTTCGATGATTTCAAAGGCAAAAGTGAAGTGTGCCGAAATGGTTGGTGGGAATTTATTCTAACGTGAAGACAGATTCTATTGGACAAAAATATGTCAATCAAAACAGTACGAGCATCTGATTGGTTCTGTGTGTAGTATTTGAATTTAATTGGACAGTTAAATGACCGAGTTTGTTACAGAGGGAGGGGAAACACTTTTAAGGAATTTCTCGTGCAGCATGGATTTTTAGTTTTCAGACATCGCTCAAATTTAAATGCATTTTATTTCGCACACTTTTTATCAAAAGTAATCTATATTTAAATGAACTGTTTACTGACTAATGTTTTTCAATCTTGCGTTTGTCAACAAAATGTTTGAAACAACTCTTGTCCAGCAGGTGGCAGGCTTAACATAATACTGAGTTGTTTTAGTAGAAACTAATATAATAAATTATCACATAAAAAAGTTTAACTTTAACATTTTATTCATTTTTTACACTACAGAATYCATCACAATTTACATAATGAGGCATGAATTTTAATTGGGTGAAGGAAATGGAAGGAATCGTGTTCTTATTTAAAACAAAAACAGCATGTAGTTTTCTTTACTTCAATCACATGTAAGACAATGAAAAAAATGTATGGACCACCAACTCTTCATACCTGATCGCATGACAGCCAATTTCTTTGAACTTGTTTSTTTTTAATAAACTAAAAGTTGGACATTCATCAGAATTTTATGGAGTTAAACTAAGTGACACCTTCCAAACAGAGAGAAAAGAAAATTAGAACGTTCAAATTCCAAACYGGAAACATTTGAACAATTTGCATCCAACGAATCAGAAAATCTTTGAGCTTGGACGTTTAAAGGTAATATATTTTTGTGAACCTTCAAATTTCTGCGGCTGGACTTTTCCCAGTTTCATCCTGCTGATGAGACGAACAGATTATTTCTACAGACCAGAACAACAAAGATAGAGAAGGCCTACTGGTTTGAGTTCACAGAGAATACATACAGCTCCGATTCAGTCGAGGCACTGTACAAAAACATTTGTTTACATTATCACATGCCTTTTAGTTGAAGTTATGAAGGAACAACTCCTTTTAAAAGGAAGAAGCCTTCAGCAGAACCAGCCTTTTCCCTCGACTGGCTGGGGTTTGAGCTGGTCCATGTGTAGCTTCTACTGAATGGTAAGAAAGACAAAGAAAAACACATTAAAGTAGACATATTGTGTTTTTAAATCCTACCTTTTCACATTTCAATCAGTCATTTGGGATCTACATAAAGTGGAACTGCAATGCTTTGGTCTCAATTCCTCCTTATTGTAACTCCACAAGCCCCTCTTTCTTTTTGTGTCTCAGATCAACTCGTTTTGAGGCTGTCTCTTTAAGTCCAAACGAGGTGCTTTTCACACCTCGCTCCCCTCCAGCTTCCAGTCTGGTCCATTCTAGTTTGACAGTTGGTTTTATGACTATATAGCAGCACAGAAACTTTTTATTTACAAATTGATTAAAAGATGTCAACAACAGAAGACTTGTCCATCCTGCCTCACATGTTGGAGCCAGAGTCTGAACCCAGAGCCAGAGGAGAATGAAGACCACCAAACTGTGGTTGGTAAGTCCAGACCTTATTTGGAATGTCTGTTGCAAATAATTTGTCATAATAGTTCAGAAAATATAAAAAAAGAGAAAACTGAATGGGTAGGAAAATATGACCCAAACAGAATATAAAGATATCTACTCAGCACCGGGAACAACTAAATTCAACATTTCTGCACTCCTACAGACTCCAAGTACACAACAAAGWGTATTTAAGGGCTAAAAAAGTGGATTTTGCATATGTTCCCTTTGATGTTAGAAATTATTACAAATACAAGTAAAAACAGCAGCAGAGTGAGGAAATGTGGTCAGTTTAATCCTAAAGCAGCAGAACTAAAGGATAACTCAGGAAACCTAAGCCAACATTACTATAGGATTTATCAAAAGGGAAAATCTGGAGCCTAGTCYTAAAAGTWAACAGGGTGTTCGCCTCAACGRAAGGTTCCACAAGAAAGGAGCCTGAAAACTTAGAGCTCTGCCTCCAGTTGTATTTTAGGAACTATAGAAACCACAAGTAAACCTGCGGTCTGAGAGCAAAGTGCTCTAGGAAAATATGGAACAATAAGATCTTTATTACAAGATGGACTTGCCCTTTTACTCCTCAAAAACTGAGCAGATGGCTTGGTTAGTCTTTTATTCACATGGGTGATGAATTCTTAGTTCTAAAACAATGCAATTTACATTTATTGTTCTTAGCTTAAGAAGTCTTTGTTGACTCAAGAAGTGTGGCWTGATGTTCTTGTTTCAGTACCAGGTAAAACGGCTGTGATATGCACACGGTAAGGCAGCTCATAAAGCATGAATAATCCAACAGGACTCTGGCCAATGATGCTTCAGCATGCTGGTGTGTGTCTGCCCTATACATGCCAGGAGTCTGGTGATAATCTGACAACCTGTGGAAGGATGAATACATGATGAGAGATTAATACATCTTTGAGATGCTTAAGTTGAGGCTGATTATTAGAGGGATTTTTTTTTCTTGTGATGGCAGCATCTTTACTGATCATTTTCAACAGTGATGTTGCTCACATAGTCACAAGACAAATACATACTGTTTTTAAAAAATACTTACAAGGGTCCTCTACTAAAAACCTGAAAATATAGTTTATARCTTTTGAAAAAGCAGGTTTCTTATGAGGAAAGTAATAAAAAAGCAACAAGGACAGAAACCATTAGAACAATTAGAGCCCTCTCTTGTCAGGATTAAGAATGAGGCAGGATGCAACGGRAGAAACAGGAAATCTTTACGGTCCCTCAAGGTCACTTACAGACCTACAGGATTAAAGATCGCCTCGGTTTCAGGAGGATCAGCAGTTGCATAAATCCAATTATGATTTATTGGGAGAAAAGGGGCACGACTCAAAGGAAAAATAACAGTTCAGGCTCAGTTGTGTGGAAGAACTTGGGATATTTAAAAAGGTAAAATACAATGGTTTATCAAGTAATATTCCTAAAGGTGAATTTAACTTTTACCAAAGCAATTTTTTTGTAAGATACTTGTACTTTTACTCATTTGTTACACAC